AGGCTCAGGGTGGACGACACGTACTCGGCGTTGCAGCGGAGGATCTTGCATTGAGAACGGGCTGAGGGCGCAAGGGCGGGATTAGGAGACAGCCCCCAGACCTCCCGGGGCGCCCGAGGAATGCCCGCCGCTCCCTAAGGCCCCACCGAGGGCCCCGCCTGCCCACCGCCCACAGCCCCGCAGTCCGGTGCTCGCTCGTCTCTCCCGCTAGAGCGCTCTGCTCTGTGCACCAAAGGGCTGCCCCGGGGTCCTTCCCCAAGTTCATTAAAATGCACCGCTTTGAGAGCGGGCCCAGGGACCGACTCCTCTCCTACATGCCTACCTGCAGTGGCGCCCCTGGGGTTGGTGCTACCCAGTGCACGAACTCATGATGTCACCCCTCCGCTCTGAAGCTCCCCCACCCCCCAACCATGCAGAAGTCTCGGTAATGGTTAGGGTCAGTTTGGGCTTTTGTTTTTTCTTTTTTCTGTTGGTTTTTGCTTTTTCAATGATCCGTTTTAAACATCGAATAATGGCTTGTAAATTGAGCGTTTTAATAGTAGTTGTAAGAAAGTTATTGGTAAAAAAAAAAAAAAAGAAAGTTATTGGTATAGGATCACCAATATTCATTAGCACAATTTTATAGCTCAAATACCAGGGGAGAAAATGGCAAAATTAACCTGACAAAAAAGACTGGCGGCCACTAAAACAGCAGCATGGTTTGTAGCAGTGTGCAGACAAAATCAAGAGATTCCGTGACTCATTGTAATCGAGTAATAGTGACAGCTCTGAACTGAGAGGTTTCGAGGATTCAAAGAGTAAACTAGCACAGAGGTTTAGGCTTGTAGGTATATTAATGCATGTGAGCTGGGCTTAGGAAAGATGTCTTTGTTGCTATAACTAATTACAGGGATATAAAATAAATTTCTGCTGAAACACTGCACAAACATTTTATAGACAGTCATTTTGATATCACCCCATTTGGCCCACACCCCCAATGACATCACTGCTCACACACACACACCCCTCCATAGAGGCCTAGCCCCAGATTTCCCAAGCCCTTTCCTAGTTCTTCCTTACCATGTCCACAGAGGAGCAGCAGGAGCGTGAGAGCGCTGAGAGTTGGGGGGCTTCCCTGGGGGGACCGGGGACTAGAGGACTGGCCTGGATCCCCCATTCCTGTCCATCCAGGTCCCCCCAGGCTCCGGTTCCTTCCAGCTGATGACTCTCCTACCTAGTGGATTTGGGCCGGAGGTCCTGTAAGGGGCTGAGGAAGGAAATCTGGCTGGGCATAGCGGAGAAAGAAGGGTGGTCAGGCGGGGTCCGTGAAGCGAATCTGAGGAGCTCAAGACAAAGGTGAGAGGTCCTGGAGTCTGGGGAGAATGGGGCTCTCCCAACTCTAAGTGGAGCTTGCTAAGCCTCCATGCCCTGGTGCTGTGGCCACTTCAGGTCCCTTGTGCAATACTGTTGGCTGGGGGTGGAGGGAAAGTTGAGTGGGGCAGAGTCCACTGTACTGACCCATCTTGAAATCCCAAACAGCAAAAATGTCCAAAATGGAAGAATCCTAGAAATAGATCTGATCCAAGTCACCCAATGGATGCGCAAATAGAATTTCTTGCTGTTGCATGCTGTCGAGTGGATACCAACTCCTGATGACCCTACAGGACAGAGTAGAAGTGCCCACAGGGCTCCCAGGGCTGTGATCTTGACGGAAGCAAATTGCTACATCTTTTTCCCACAGAGCAGCCGATGGAAGCCACTGTCCTTTTACCTAGTAACGGAGGGGTCAGCCCCTGCGCCACCAGAATTGGGATCTGTAAATACTTCAGAAACCCATTTCTTTTTTGCCCCTCTCAGGAGGGGATATCCTCTGGAAGCCATTCGTTTTTCATCCTTACTTTGTATCAGATTTACGGTGAGCATGAGTGCTTTCACCTGCTCCAGAGAGCCACACTCAGAATCCCGCCCACACTGAAAGTACAAGCTAAGCATGGGAATCGATATTTGCTGTTTTCTGAGTCAACAGTCCTTGTATTTTTCAAACCTACCTGAAAAAACACTTTCCCCGTTATTCTGTCTCTTGCAAATTTGGGAGTTCTCAGTCTCTCCTGTGATGAGGATTGGGGTTAGAGAAGGGCTGACCCCTTCCTGCTGACCTCGCGCCTCTCTTCGGGTAAGGCTATGCTGTGGGAGAAGAGCCCCGGAGGACACAGAGCAGGCTAGAGGGACTAGGGCTATGGGAAGAAGAAAACACTTAGAGGAACAGCCCCTCCCTTGGAAACACAACATGCAGAGCGCTGATCAAAAGGAGCAGGCTGGAAGGGTGTCAGTGGCTAACTGGATGAGGCTAAATTTGGCAATGGTGAGAAAACCACAGACGGGACTGTGTGGTAACCTCGCAAACTCTAGAGATAGAAAGTAAGGAGGGAGCAAAGACAGTCAGAGGAGAGGAGGATTAGCCTCCAATGGCCAGAGGCCAAGAAGAAATGGAGACAGAGGAAGCAATGGAGATTGGAGCACCTTGGCTTGAGAGACATCCTAGCTTTACGATCAGAGAGCCTCAAATAGGTATCTGCGATTTTAGAAAAATCAAACTTCCATCCAAAAGCTTATTCAAGCAATTGCAATTTCATGTTGACTTACTGTTTCCAGAGGTCAAACATTACTCTGTTATCCAATTTGCCAGCCATGACTGCCTACTCTGTTGGTCCGCTCCAGCCAGGAGGTCCCCCTTCTCTCTCCATCTCCCACAGGTCTCCAGCCGGGCTGCAATCTCACTGAGGTCAGGCAGACAGAGAAGGTTGGGTGTAGGGGGAAGGGGAGAGTATATGGCTGGCTAGAGTACTGGACAGCTGGGCGGGGGAGGGAGGTGGCTACTGAGTTGACTGTTTTAAAAATAGCTAAGTCCAAAATTCCAGGAACGTTGGTGGAGGTAGGGTGGGGGTGAGGGGGAGTGGGAAAGTAGGGTTAGGAAGAATATGGAATATAGGGTGCCAAGGTATGGGGGAGGGGAGGACGAGAAATAGAACAAGCCAGTCAAACGTCTCACTCTAGAATGCCGCCAGCATTCTCAATAATAACTTTCTGGCCTTGAAAGTTTGCTATGGAAAACTGAGCGTCTTTCCTTTACCACTCTCATCGCGGCTGTGTTGAACATTGCATCCAGTTTCTAGAGCCAGTAGCTGGGAGGTTACTCACTTTGAATAAAATCTAAGGAAGTTGCAACCCCAGCCCTCCCCCCATCTTTGCAGAGAATTTCAGGAGGACTGAAAAACAGCTGTCCAGGGAAGAAATCTGAGCCCCGAGTTGTTTAGGATGAGGGTTGGTTCTGTCCATCCAGCTCGGATCCTGCAGCTGTCCATCACCCCATCTCTTTCATGTCCATCCCTTAGTCTGGGCTGGCATCCTCCCTCGCTCGCGCCAGCCATACCAACACACACACAATCCAGCCTCCCGAGCAGGGACAGAGGCTAGCACACGTAAAGAGGTGCTGAAAGAATGGTGACAGGGTTTGCTGAAGGCCACTCATCCACCAGGGAGGGAAAGAGAGGGAGAGGAACTCAAACGAGGGCTTCCACAATCAGGAGCAATATAACCTATTTCTCTGGAAAGAGAAATCATTTTTAACAATCACTCTTCATTTAAAAATTAAGAATAACAAAGAAAAAAACGTCAACAGATGTGGCAATAATGAAAAGGAACTTTGATTCTGTATGATGGCTACTTAAGTAGAAAGTAAATGGGGAAAATGCTATTGAGAGAAAGGAGAGAAAGGAGTTGAATGTCAGAAACACTGAGTGACAGTGTGGAGAGATGAAATGAGAGAAAAGGAGATTCAGGAAGATACGTTTGTGGAGTAACGTAATATTCTGACCTGTTATAACCGTGTCATGCAAGCCATGTCTTGCAACCTGTCTCTACTGACAGCCCTTACCCCTCACTCCCTGCCATCCGGTGGATTCTGACCACTGTCCCTGTGGGTTTTCAAGGCTAACTCTTTCTGGGAGTAGAAGGCCTCTTTCGTCGTTCTCTTAGGGAGTGGCTGGTGGTTTTGAGCTTCTGACCTTGCGGTTTGCATGCCTAACGTAGCCATTAGGTCACTAGCACTCCTAAAAAACTTGCTTCCAAATAGTGCCGCCAGAGCCCGTGCCCCAAGTCACTCTGCATTCATTCAGAGTCTAGATGACCAAACAGCATTATTTACATGCATGTCGCCTTGATAAATTCAGGGTTGTTGTTGGGTTTTTTTCTTTCCACGCATCATAAGGAATTTTATTATAGGCATCTAAAAAGCTCAAATCAAGCTATTCAAATGACTTTAAACACAATAATTTGATACTGCAGAGCACTGAATTTTTTAATATGGGTCTTCAAGCCTTAGTCTCTGTAACTCCCACCAAATGAAGAGGGAGGGGGAATATTGACAGGATTCAGTCATGCGTGCTTGTGACAGGTTTCCCTGCGAAACTCATCCTGCTGCATAGAAAAAGAGCTCTCTCCGAAGAGGGGTGAGCTCTCACTGCCAGCAAGAACCAGCAGGGGAAGGAGAACGATGGAACGCGAGGTCCCTGCGCAGTGAATGTCTCTGATCCGGACAGCTTCGAGCCAGAGGAGCGGCCGGCCGAGGAGCAGCAGCAGCAGCACCAAGAGCCAGAGCCTGAGATGGAGTGGTGGCACTCCCAGCCCAGAGCAGGGACAGCTGGGTGCTTTGGGGTGGAAGATAAGCTTGCGGAATGGGGTGCTTCTGGGCCTGCTGACCCACAAAGCGGGGTTGGGCTTATTGGAGTAGCGTGCCTCTGAGCGCATACTTTGGGAAACTGAGTTCACTGATGCACAGGAGGAGCTGAGGGCTTTCAGGCTGAGGCTTACAGCAGTGATATGCACACAGGGGATTTATTCGCAGCCCTGAAAGAACTTTGTAGCATGTACTGACTGAACAACTCTATCCTGAATTGTGACCTGAGCAACAACTTCATCATGGATATTGCCGGTGAGTTCTGTGTGCACATTGCAATGACTTATAGAACATAGCTGGAAAGTAGAGAATGCCGTGAGAGACAGAGCAGTAAAAGGAGAGAATGTTGAGGGGGACAGACCCCAAGAAGAATGTACCCTAGGGATAAAGATATAATGCAAGATATCTCGAAGTAGTCATACTGGTGGTTGTGTTGCTAGGGTTATCCTGAAACTATTGTGGGTATATTGTGGGATAAAACAAATGTTAGTTTTATGTTAGTCTCTAACTAATGTTAGTGTCTTTGAGAACCAGAATTTTGGGTATGGAATAAAGACATACATATTTATGACTGTTAGATCTAAGCAAAGCTCTGTAATTTTAAATTCAAATTAGAACTATGAATTCATGATGTAATCTATTCTACAATTTTCCCCTAACTTTATCCTGAAAAAAACGGCCAGAAAGAATTACCCAATAGCAATGAGCATCCGTATTGCCTAAATGATCCTATTGAATACCATTTCCCACTAAAGGAAACCAGGACTCAATGGGGAAGTGGCTGATTCCAGGTTTGGGGAGTAATTATCCAAGATAAGCAAGGATGCTTTCAGAGACCATTAGGCCCTAACAAGCTCTGACTCCTTCAGGGCATGAACTCTAGTCAGCCTGTGGTCACCGGAGCCTCGCTTTGCAAGTAGACCCTTACTGAAACTCATATAGTACAAAACAAAGACTATTAGGATTGTATCACAACGACTCAGAGAGCCAACTACAGTAGCTCCTACTACCAAAGTGGGGCAATTTGAGCATTAAAATGAATAATATTTGCCATGGATTGAACACAGAAAATATGTTAATATTTCTGATTTCACATTTAGTACTTAAAAAAAGCAAAAACAAATCCATGATAGGAGAATGCTACATAATCAGCTCATTATTTTGAAACTGCTAATAACATGACAGATTCAAACATTTATCATTATATAATTCATTATCTTTCTCTTTTCATTTAACTGCTTATAAATGTCGAGGAACAATGATACTCAATTATGATATTTGTATTAGCCTAGCTTTTGCTGTCTCTTTTGTATTCTCTATTGATTTTGAATTTTCGATTTCAGTTTGTTTTCACTTGTTATATTTGTTTTTGGCCATATGTGTTTTTTTTTGTTTTTGCTACAAATCCTTTTTGGAAAGATTAAAATGAAAACTTTTCCCCTTGTTTATTATAAAAAATTGTTTTATTGATGTAAAAATCACATATCGTGTACCTCCATAGTTAGGTTGCTTTATGAAACAGTTGTACATACATCATCCATCCCAAGCAGGTCCAGTGCCCCTCCTCCTCCTCCTTCAGTGTTTGCTTCCCAGTCCCCTCAGCCCCCACCCCCATCCCAGTTAAACCACTGCATCAGTGGTGGCCTCTGCGCATGCACTCCTTTGGTGCTTCGGAAACTGGGAAACCTAACAGAAACAATAGAAAAACAAAAAATGAAGCTGAAAGAAAATAATCATGTAAAGCTAAAACGAAAGAAAAGAAAAAAGAGAGAGAAAAGATCACTAGCAATAATTTTTTTAAGCCAGAGAGGAAATTTTTGTCATGGAACAAGCTAGAAATATTTAAACCTAGAGCAAATTCAGGTTGGATCAACTTAGAATTTTCCAGAAATATGTGATAGAATTAACAGCTGCTAGGAGAGTATAGTCTTCCCACGGAGACAAAACATACACAAATGAAAAATAATAGTTTAATGCAAATGTCAATGTCCTAAAAGACTATATTGAAAATACTTTATCTCATGCCCAAATCAGGGGCGCCTAACCTTGCCTTTATGTCGGAATCATGAGGGAGCTTTAAAAATTCTGTTGTTCAGGATACACCCCAGACCAATTAAATAAGAATCTCGGGTGGTGGGGGGATGGTGGTAACCAGCCCAAGTTTTGGTTTTGTTTTGTTTTTAATACTCCATGTAATTTCCTGTGCAGATAAGACTGAAGACACTGGCGAAAAGGAGCAGTGTACACAGCGCACTGTCCAGACAAATACAAAGAACTGCCAACACTTAGGAAGAGTCGGGATTGGGGTCATCTGGAGAAACGTGATATTGTAGAGGGTTAAGAAATCCGTGTGACGCTTAAAACTCCACCTCGGAGCGCCTCTGGAACAGAGCTGTGACGTCATCGGTCCTACTTACCGTTTGACCACAGGTGCACTGCCCCAGTGGCGCTGTTTGAGTCAGCGTTGACTTGCTAACTCTGCTGGTTCAAACCCACCAGCTGTTCTCCAAGAGAAAAACGTGGCTCCTTTGCTCTCTCCGAAACCGAAACCCACAGGGTGGATGTGGAATTAATTGCACTTTTGCCGATTCCCAGCAGAGGGCTCTTTTCTAGCCGTAATCAAACCTATGTTTAGCTTGTCTATAAAATTCCTTTATTTATTTATTTATAATCATTTTATTAGGGGCTCATACAACTCTTATCACAACTCATACATACATCAATTGAGTAAAGCACATTTGTACATTCATTGCCCTCATCATTCTCAAAACATTTGCTCTCCATCCAAGCCCCTGGCATCAGCTCCTCATTTTTCCCCCTCCCTCCCCGCTCCCCCCTACCTCATGAACCCTTGATAATTTATAAATTATTATTTTGTCATATCTTGCACTGTCAGACGTCTCCCTTCACCTGCTTTTCTGAAAATTCCTTTATTTTTAATTAAACTTTTAATTTAGGGTTAATAGGACATTTGGTAGATAAAAAATACAGAAAGAACCTCTGTACCTTTACCCAGTTTCCCTCCAATGACGCCCTCTTACAAAACTAC